ACACTTCAAAGAAACCCCCAGCTCACAGCAGCTGAGGACGCGTCCCAGGCCCCAGGGGAGTGAGATTTGGGGTAACAGTGGGGAAAGCCGGCAGGAGGAGGAGGCCTGCGGACCGGGGCCCTGTCTAGGGGGACCCTCCGTGGGTGGCGCAGCCCGGCCCGGCCCGTCTCCCAGCGACACGCAGAGGCAGAGCCGCGCACAGCCACCCTCACTGCCGTTCCCCGTGACGGGGACAGAACTGTGACACGGAAGAGGTGCCTGATAAACCCTGACCTCCCTGAGCCTTTACCTAGAACTCGATTCCCAACCCCGCAGACAGCGGAGAACGCAGGCCCTGAGAGCGGGAGGCTGATTAAGGGGCCCCGCCTCCCCGAGATGCGCCATCCTGTCAAAACAAACTCCACCGCGTTTTGAAATGCTGGTGGCGTCTGAGACGTGTTCATTAGAAATGAAAAAGGCAGCTTTCGCACGGAGAGGCTGGCGTCTGCAAGCCGCCCCTCTTCCCCAAAGCGGGGTTGGGAAGTGGCCGCAGGGACGTGGACTCCTTGCCGATGTCCACCCACCAAGCGGGACTTCGGGCTGGACGTCTGTGCGTTGGGGCCGAATCCACGAGGGGACAGGCAGGGGCATGTGGAGAAGGCCTGGACTGGGAGCTGGACCCAGCTGGGCGCGACCCGCTCCAGCCACTCACTTGCCGAGAACCGAAACTCTCTCAGCCTCAGTTTCCCCACCAGTAAAGCAGAGACCCTCTCCCGTTAAGAGGCCTGGATTCCCTCCCAGACCTGGGAAGTGACTAGCTGGACAGTGTATGGTTCACGGTGAAGACTAAATGGATTCTCCTCCCAGGCTGAAGCTCCACGGGGCAGAGCCCAAGCTGGCCCTCCCAGAGAGCAGCCCCGGGCCACACAAATCCTTGATGAATGAATGAATGAGCAAACAAATGAGTTCCAGTTTGCACCCAAGGTCCAGATGGATTCCTCGCTTGCTTAAGATTCTCCCTTCCTCCTGTCGGGTGCCACCTCCTCTCTCACAGTTTGTGCCTCTTAAAATGCCAGGAACGTGGCAGCCAAACAGGCCACGGTGGCCCCCATCACCACCCACCCAGGGTCAGCGCTCAGAACTTGCTGGAGCTCAGGCTTGGGCTCTACCCGCTCAGGCAGGTTGTCTGGGTCAGAGGGACTGGCAGATGTTCCCAGGCATCCCACGCTGCTGGGATGGGGCGTCGGGGGGACGCAACCGCATGGCCCCGTGCCTGCTTTGCTGGCGTCCCCAGGGACGCGTGGCCGTGAGGTCCGTCTACCCACTCGGCAGACGTTCCACGAGGCCCAGCAACGCAACGGTGCCAGGCGTGGGCACAGACACACAAGGAGAGGAGGCTCCGTTCTTCCCCGAGGGGCCAGGACACGGCCCGCAGGCACCGGTGGGGAGGTCGGACGGGCCCTTCCTCGCGGGAGCAGGCGCTGGAGACCCTCTCCCGACACCTTCTCTGGGCACCCACGACCCGAGCCCACGCCAGGCCACGCTGCGGGCTGGCCCCCAGGAGATGGGCCCCTGGACCTGGGCTGACTCCCCAAGGGGCTCCAGTACCGCCTGCTGGGTGGCCACAGGGATGTGGTCTCACCTCTCTGAACCTCAGTTTCCTCATCTGTACAACAGAGCCTGTTGTGATGATTTACAAAACAGCAAAATGTTTGCTGAACTGTTTTTAAAGGCTCGTCACCATTGTTAACTTGCCTTTGCAGTGAGTTTGGTGACTACGGAAAACCGAACTTAAGGGCCACTCTGGGAGGGGTGAAGCAGCCCCAGGCTCCTGGCCACCCTGGGCTCCTGGGGGTGCGGTTTAGAATCAGGGAGCCTAGCCCCTGCCTGCACACAGTAGGCCCTTAGGAGACGGTGCCACCTGTCCCCTCACCAGGCCACCTGGGACTGTGTCTGTCCCCTCAAAAGCAGTGGAAGCCGCATAACGGCATGTCCCCTGCACTCAGCCCAGGGCCAGGCATTCAGCTCAAGTTAGGAGGAAAGAACTCATGCCCTGTGGCCAGGCCGGGCACCGGGAGACCCAGCGTGCCCTGACCGCTTGTGCCCGACGGCGGTCGCCCCCAGCCAGACCTGTTCCCGCAGCCCCAGAGGCAGCGAGGGCCGGCCTGGGCCTGGGTGGGAGCCGGCGCCCTGCCCGCCCCATCAGCCCGCGGCCACTCTGTCCCCACCGCGGAGGAGCCGGGCCTGCTCTCCCAGCCCCACAATTTGTCTTGCAGCTGCTGCCGTTGCTCGGAGCGAGACACTTGCTTGTAGCTTGAGCGCTGTGTATAGGCAAATCTTTCATTTTTCTTTCATTATGCCGGCGTGTACTGTCACTTAATTTTTATGTATGCAATCCTTCCTGACAAATATGATCTGCTGCCTGGTAATTTGTCTGACGCTCATTCTGTTCTGTGCTCTAATTACGGCTCCTATTCCTGACACCGAGGCAGCCGCTCTGCCACCGCTGGGTACTGCACCTGTCAGCCCGACCATGGCACTGACTAATGCCCTTTCATGCCAGCCTCGTGTTAGCAAATACAGAGGCGGGGAGGGGGCCCGGGGAGGGGCAGGCAGGAGGAAATCAGATTTGCATAAGCCCAGCTCTCGGGTCAGCAGCCTTAGGAGACGAGGTGGTTGCCAGGGCGACATGGCTGCCACCACGCGTTCCCGCATAGTAGGTGCGCACTGGATTCAGCGGATGCATAATTCATGCCCACGCGCAGGGTGTGAAGGGGCCCCTGCCCCCGTGTCCTTCCCGAGTCACGTGGCAGCGGCAATTAGTTCAATCTGTTGCCTGACCCGATGTGTGTGTGAGCCGTAGCTGCTCGCAGGCCACGCTGTGGGAGGGGTCTTTCCCTGTGTCTTGGGGACTTCAGGTCCTGGGCTCTGGCTTTGCCCCCTGCCAGTCTGGAGCCCTGGTGGGGGCACAGGTGGCCCTCAGTTCTGGGGGCTTGTCCTGCAAGCAGGGGCTTGCAGAGTCCCATGCGGGCCGCAGCTCCATGGCATCGCCTGGACGCGGGCACATGGCCCGCAGCGGGGACAGGCCCCAGGAGGAATCCTTTCACCCACGACGCGGCCCAGTCAGCTGCTCACAGACCTCAGGAGGAGCCGGGCTGACGAGGGCAGCCTTCTCCCAAGTTCCAATTCCTTCTCATTAATATAATAAGTGCACCAGTCCGAGTCGATAAAATCACATTGTCGGATGAGACCACATCTCCGCCCGGTGCTGACGGTCCGATCCTAACCGGCTCTGACGGAGCGCCGCAGCCTTCCGCAGCGGGACGGAGAAAGGCTCGGAGCTGACGGACAGGCGACAGGAGGCAGCGCCTTTAACTCTTCGACAGTTTCCCTTCAATTCTCTGGCCTTTTCAAAGCTCTTAAACCGGGTAAGTAAACAGTCGCAAACCAGCCAGAACACTCGGTTTTTCACAAGGACGTGTCCGCGGGGACTGGAAAGGCCAGGGGCCGGGTTCTTGGCGGGAGGCCCCGACGCCAGCCCCACGCCCGCACTCCGCCCTGGCTCTGCCGCCGGATTTCACATTCCTCGTCCTCTGCAAAAAGGAAGGACCCTACGGACCCTCTGGGCTATCAAAGGTGTGAACGGAGAATCACACACTCCCCCAGGCGGCCAGGTGTCCCCAGGGTGGGATGGGAATGAGGGTCTCAAAAGGAAGCACTCCCCACGCCCTCCTGTAGGCCGCTGGAGGTTTCTCCTCCCCGTGCAACGCGCTGGAGTCTGAGCAGCCGCGGGACATGACGGTTTCCACAGGACAGCGAGGCTTCCAGAAAGCCCCTCTGCCCTCCCCAGACGGAGCCGCTCGCACGCCGGGCTCGCCACGGGCACTCGGGGGCTTCCTGGCTGGAGCCGGGAGCAGCGGCATGCAGGACGGCAGCCCTCTGCTCTCTGCTGCGGCCCGGCTGCCCCCTGCGGATGGACGCGGGTGCCTCGCCCGCCCGCGACTGGGCCACGCGCGGGAACAGGGACCTCGGGAGCGCCTTCCGCTGCAAACGTGCCTCGAGTGGCCTGGAACTGGCTTTGGGAAACCAGGAGGCCCTGCCCACCCCAGGGGCCTCTGTGAATCGTGCCCTCTGGCAGGCAGCCGTGGCGAAACTTGATGCGCCGCACTGTCGAGCCCAGGGGACCCTGTACCAAGCTCCACCTGGGGCCTTGCCGCTTCCTATAGTCTAATTAAATGAGAAAACTCTCCATCTTCCATCATTCCAAGTTTCGCACTCGGTCAGGTGCCCCCGTGTGGACGCTGAAGCTTGCACTGTTGCTTGTGCCCCGAAACACACGCCTGCCGAGTCCAGCCCAACACCCCTGGCCCCCAGCACGGCGTCCAGCCCCCCGAGTTGGCGTTCAGGGCCCCGCCTGCCTTTCCTGCTGCTCCTGCTGCAGCCCCAGGACCCTGCTCCCTGCCAAGCCGAGGCAGCCGCTGGGCCTCACGCCGAGGCTCTCCCTTTATCTTTCCTGGAATGCTGTTCCCTCCCTCCCAGTCCCAACGGCTCCTAGTCCCCTTCACGGTTCAGCTAGAATGTCACCTCCTCCTGGGTGAGTCCTTGGCCCCCACAACTTCAAAACTGCCCGTTTAAAAGCCCAAAACTGGAAACAGCTCAACGTCCACCCCCAGAGGATGGGCCGAGTGGGGCGTGCCCAGGACGGACACCACACGGCAAAGAGAGGGCCCAACGACAGTGGCAACAACAGACACACCCACACCTCCCACTCCATGTAATGGGCTCAGTCGGTCCTTCCTGGGAGGAACAGGAGGTGACAGGAGGGTGCAGGGAAGCCCCAACCAGGCTGCCCCAGGCCTCAGTTTCTCCCTTCTGGGTTACTGTTCTGCACAGATGAGTAAACTCGAGGCTTACTCGGGGCAGGCACTTTCCTGCACGAACCTACCAGAGGCGCGTGGGAGAATACCTGCATTTCCCTGCAGGACCCCGGGGCTGTGGGGTGCAGACAGGCGCCCCCTTACCTAGGGAGTGGGCCGCGGTGGTCTCAGAGCTGAAGAAGCGGCCCAGACCGAGGTCACCAAGCTTCACGATGCCTGTGGCCGTGATGAACACGTTGGCAGGCTTGATGTCTGTAGGACAAGGAGAAGGGGGTTGGCGTGGGGCTAGGACGGCAGGAGAGGGTGGCCCAGGCAATGCTCCCTTGGGGCAAGACCCCACCCCAGCTCTGGCTGTGCAGCCTTGGGAAATTTACCATCTCTCCCTGAGCCTCAGTTTCCTCACCTATAAAATGGGTCTAACTTCACCTACTTCCCAGAGCTGCTGTGAGTTCTATGAGAGCAGAGATTTTTGTGCTATTATTTCCTTTTCTAGCGTGGTATCCCAAGCCTTGCACACAGCAGCCGCTCAGCGGAACTCTGTGTAACGAACGGAGCACTCCATGGTGCCTCCCACACGGCAGATGCCAGTCATCAGAGGAGTGACCGAACAGAGGGATCAGGGCAGGTTACTTCCTGCCACTTGTCAAATTTTGGGAATGCTCCTTTGCAGGTGTCCCACCTGTTGGCCCAGCCAACGCCTGCCAAGACGTGGAAGCCCATGGGAAAGTTGCCCTCTCTGGGCGGCTTCCCCACCTCCCAGGCCGGTGCTGGGGACTGGCGACAGTGGTCGAGTGTGGCCCCCGCTGCTGTGGCTCCTGTAACTGTCTGGCGCTGGGCGTCCCCACCCCGAGAGGCCCCGATGCGTGTGTGCAGCTGCTGGACACCCCCCCACGTGGGGAACAGAGTGGCCCAGCTTCCTCATGGCCGCCCGAGGAGCCAGGAGGAGTCGCAGGGAAGCTCCTTCCTCGGTCCCAGAGGCACGTGGCCTCCCGTGGGCCCCCAGGGCGGCACGTACCTCGGTGCATGACGCGCCGCGAGTGCATGTGCTCCACGGCGCTGCACAGCTGCACGAAGTACTTCCATACCGTCCTCTCGGGGATGAGCCGCTTCTGCTTCTTAAAGTACTGCGTTGGGGAGACAGACAGGCGGACAGGCTGGGTGAGCGCTGTGACGAGGAGGGCTGTGGGACGAGGCCCTGTTCCTTCCCCAGTGGGCAGCTGACGCCGGGCACGGGGGTGGGGTGGGCAGGCTGCCCAACAGACGGTGAACCCAGAACCCGGAGTGCGAGCTCACTAGGACTTCTGGAACCTCCCGGACACAGCCCCACAGGGGGCTCCCTGCAGGAGTGGACCCGGTGCGGGACCCTCTGCCCCCCGCGCTGGCCTGGCCAGGAGGCAGCACCTGGCACACATCTGTGGCTAAATCCGAGCCGCCACCACCTCCGTGGAGCTGGCAAGTCTCGGCACACCACGACTGTCAACAGGCACGGCAAGAACCTCGAGGACGTGGGCTGACATTCTCAGACGGACCCCTAGTTCCAACAGGCACTGTCTACTTCACTGGAAAAACATTTGATGTTCCAGAAAACAAACAAACAAAAAGAACAAAAACAAAAAGCCTCAGGCTGCACCGAATGAGCTGAGAGAGCAAGCGAAGTCTAGAAGGAGCAGGCCAGGGGCACGTCCCAGCCACAGGTCAAACCAGGACGGGGGTCTCCCGGGTGCCAGGCCTGGGGGCCAGGGCATGACTCGTACACCAGCTACCCGCAGGGCCCTGTGTCAGGCCCTGCTCTGTCACGGGGAAGGCGGCACCGAGCCGGGACGCGCCGAGCGCCTGCCCTAGGCAGGGAGGGCCGGGCCCGTCCTACAGATGAGGAAACTGAGGGCTGCACAGTGAAGCAGAGTCACGGCTCAACCCCAGGCCTTCGCCTAGAAAGCCCGAGCTCTTAGCCACTTCAGAGGACACCAGTCACCGCTGTCATGAGGGGTTTAGGCGCGTGCTCAAGGCCACCCAGCTGGGATCGGGTCAGGGCACCTCCCACAGTGGGACAGTCGCGGCTGGGACCCAGCCCCTGGCCTCGCAGCAGATCCCGACGCTCTCCTGCGGCGCCTTCTGGGAGAGGGGCCCCACGGCGCGCCGTCCCAGGCGCTCGGCTCGGACCCCCACCCCGGGCCCCCGCGGCGGGCCAGGCTGGGGTGTTATTTACGCTACGACGTTAGTTAATCCTCATTATGGCATTTATGCGGGGGTGTGCGTGGCCGAGAGTGGTGATTTTCTAAATGTCACGTCCTACAAGCGCCGTCTGACATTTAGCGGGAAGGCGCAGCGTCTCTGGTGGGTTCCAGGGCGGCGGCAGCTCCTGGCTTCGCTGCTCCTCATAAATAACCCGGGCCGTGGCTGTGGGGCCACGCTTGGCCTTGGGACACAGGCCTTGCTGGCCAGCAGCCTCCGAGGGCAATGGGGCGACTATGGCTGGGCCCTGCAAGGCCCCCGATCCTCTGGGAACCGAGGCAGCCTGGGAGTGGGAAGGCACTGCGCTGGGTATGTCACAGACGAGGAAACTGAGGCACAGGGTCTTGCCCAAGGCCATCCAGTGGGCGTGTCTGACTTGGGGCCTGGTCTCCCCATGGCCTGGCCTCAATTAGATATGAGCCCCCAGCAGGAGCGGCAGGGGAAGGGGAGCGGGGGAGGGGAGGCAGCGCGCCGGGGAGGAGGGCCCGAGGCCCTGAGCAGCCGGTCTACACCCTAGATTCAGTCCCGCTGCTCAGACTGTCTGAGCCCTGAGCCAGCACCGTCCCTGGGGAAGCCAGGCAGGGTGCAGGACGCAGGGGAGGCTGGATAGGGAGGGGACGACCAAGGCACACGGACGAGGTGCAGGATGCTGACCGGATGCGCACATACCTCCCTCCTCTCCCTGCTGGCCAGGCCCGCGGCGCCCTCCCCAGCACGCGCCCTGGGCTGTGGAAACCGAGGCTCAGGAAGAGCGGGTTTTGCCCCCCTCCATCCCCCTGCCTGACCCCACCCCACTCCACGGACTGGACTGGGAGGCCACAAGGGTGTCTGGGCTGCACTGGGGCAGTGCTGGAAGGTGACAAGGAGGCGCCCTCCTCCACCACCTGCCTGTCCCTGCCCTCGCTGCTCCCTCCGCTCTGCATCCAGTCTGTCTTCTAGAACGCAGAGCTGACCATGTCTGCACCCTGCCACCAGTCTTGGGAGGCTTCTCTGGCTTTGGGGTGTGGCCTGATCCTGAGCCTGGAGCAAGAGGCCCGCATGGTCTGGCCCCACCGAGTGCTTCCACCCCCTGGGCTCCTCCTCCAACTGCTCCTTCTTCTGGACTGCTCATCTCCCCTCAAGTCTCGGCTCAAGTGCCCCCTCCTCCAGGAAGCCTCCCCGGACTCCCACAGGGCCTGAACTTGGCTTGCTCATTCTGGCTCTTAACTGCTTGTTCACGGGTCTGCCTTCCTGTTAGAATCCAGGCTCCCCAAGGGCAGCACCCGCGCCAGTGGCACCCCCAGGTCTTGGCACGAGGGCCGGCATGCAGTGCGTGCGCGTTCGGTGAGAGAACAACACGTGAAGGAGAAACAAGAGAAGCGGGCGGGGGAGGAACTAAGACATGATGTAGCACATCTGCTCCCACCAGGGATCCGAGTGGAGATTAACATCCCTGCAAACGCATTAATATGTCAACGAAAATATAAAAGCAGGTGATAACAGCTCAAGTAATGCCGCTTCCCCGCGATGCCTGTATTCCTAGGAGCCAAATTTCAGAAGAGCAAGCACCGAGCACTGCTCAGTCCCCAGCGCCTGCTGGGAAGATGGAGAGTCCACGTCTGGCCCCGTTTTCCAAGCGTGGCTGGGAGCAGGTGGGGGCCCAGGGGAGGCCCAGCCTCACGCAGAAGCTGGCCGATGGGCCCCGGGGAGGGAGCGACGGGGCGCCCACAAGAGTGGCTGGAGACTCGGGGCCCAGCAGGGAAGCGGGTCCCGAGGGAGGTGCGGGGAGTGCCGGGGCTGGGCAGACCTGGCCTCCCGCTTAGAGGCCGTGCACGCTGGGCCGGGGACCGCACTTCCCTGAGCTTGCTCTCTGAGGACAGCAGGGACTCAGCGAGTGGGGTGTGACGCGCGTGGCCCAGTCGTGGCCGACAGCAGGTGCTCTCTCAGTGCAGCTGCGGTGGGCCCTGGCGCCGGACTCAGGTGGCCCTCGCCCCGGGAGGTGGCGCGAGGCGTGCGGAGGTGTGTGCTGGGGCGGGGGTACAGCGCAGGAGGCAGCCCTGGCGCCAAGCCCGCCTGTGTGATTGGGCCGGTCGCTCGACCTCTTGAAGACCCTGGGCACTGGCCGTTACGTGGAAATGACGATCACCACTAGGGCTAGGGAGATCATTTTGGGGACAATGTCCATTGAAGGGTACCCATGCTACGAAAACAGAGACCCGGGCCACAGGCATGGCTCTGTCCCACAATGCTGGGTGTCCTCCGGCAAGTCTCTTAAGCTCTTTGGGCTCAGTGTTCCCCTTCTGTGAAATGAGGTGGTTGGGCCTATAAGACACTGTCCCGAGAGCTGGGGTCTGGCCTAACGGGCTGCTGTCCCTGCTCCTCTGAGGCAGAAGTGGCCCGTGAGCCCATGGACGGGCGGGGGGTTGGCCCTCCAGCAGCCACTGGCCTCTCCGGGCATCATGGTGCCTTGCGCTTGCTCTTGTGAGCAGAGCTTCCCTGCGGCCGGTGGGAAGAGAGAGGCACCCCAGCAACGGCCACGGGGCATGGAGCCCAGAGGGCCCTCGCCAGCCACAGCTGGGGCCTGCGGGCACTGGCAACAGGGCTCGGGAGACGCCGCGGCCCCGGGCAGCCCTGGCCCCTGCCCGCCCTCCTGTCTGGCCTCACCTTGATCATCTGCGAGAGGTCGCCCGCGTCGGCCAGCTCCAGCACGATGTTGAGCTCGTTGTCTTCGATGAACGAGTCCAGGTACTTGATGATGTTTGGATGGTTCAGTTGCTGTGCGAGGAGAGAGGGCGGCGGGCGCCAGTGAGACACGGTCCGGCCCCAGCACCTGCCCACGCCGGCGCCCCGTCAGCGCCCTGTGACAGCGGCCCTGGCACCTGCTCCGAGGAGCCTGCCTGGGGAAAGACCTGTGCTTTGGAGCCGGGCAGACCTGGGTCACGCTGGGAAAGCCACTTTGCATCCCTGAGTCTCTGTTTCCTCATCTGTGAAATGGGCACAATGTTTTCAAACGTAGCTGTCAAGAGGAGATGGGCTGACACCCTTGCGATGTGTCACACGGCGCCCGAATAGAGCCACGTAAGACTCAACAGACACTTGTAGAAATGACGCCCCTCAGGGCAGGACTGGGCCCCCACCGGCCTGGCCCTGTGCAGTCGCCACTCGGGATTCACCTCCTCCCCTCCTCCTCCCCACGCTTTCTCAATTCTGACCCGTAGCTTGTGAAATCTCCGTGGTGAGACCCGCCAGGCCGCCGCTCAGCACCGAGCCCCTGCCGCCGCGCGTCGGCCGTGCGTGTGCTGACGACGGAGCGTGGAGCCGACGGGGCGGTGCCCACGCGGGAGGCAGGCCCCGCCAGGCTGAGAGGAGCCCCTGGCAACTCTTATTAATGAAACTGACCCTGTACACCCAAGTGATTCCAGGATCTGGGGGCAGTGCAGGGGACTCAAACATCCAGAGGCCAATTTAGGGCACATTCCCTAAAAGGCCTGGAGCTGTGCCGACCTGTGTCCATCCTTGGATTCTAGAACAAGGGGGAACCTGGGCGGACATCGCAGAGCCACGCCATCCCCCAGGCCAGGACCCGGGGGTGGGCACCCGGTCAGGGAGGCCAGGAGAAGGCAAAGCTGCCGGCCCACTTGGGCCTGGGCAAGGCTCCAGCGTGTGCTCTTGAATGTCTTCAGGAATGTTCTTAGAAACTAGGAACATGCAGGCCAGGGCAGCAAGTGCCGAAGAGCTGCCCTGTCCTGGGAGGGGAAACATCAGGTGTAAACCTGGTAGGGGGCAGGAGGAGGGAGCTGAGGGAGGAGCTGTGATTGTGTCCCAGCCCACGCCCAGGCAGGCCGGCAGGGAGAGGTGGAATTTCCAGTCAAGGGAGACGGCTACTAACTGTGACATGGTCACGGACGACTTGGAGGGCCCATGGCGAGGGAATCCACCTAGAGCGGGGAGAGAGGGGATGCCATGGAAGACTTCCTGGAGGAGGTGGCATCTGAGCTGAGGTCTGAGGGGAGAATGAGAATTGCAAGGGGGTATGAAGGAGCCACCCGTGCAAAGGCCCTGTGTTCGACTGAACAGAGGCCGGTGTGGCTGGTGGGACAGCAGGGGAGGGGGCGTGCCCGGGGCCGAGGGTGGGGCCCGGGGAGGGCAGACCACACAGTGCCTCACAGGGCCCTTGAGGACTCAGGTCTCTGCTCAGAGCAATGGGGAGCTCTGAATGCGCTGAAGGGGTCAGACCGCACAGAGCTTTTTATTGTGTTATCTTTTTGGTACTGATTTACAAGACTATTTACGTGTAAATATTCTTTCTGTACGTAAATACACATATCTAGGATCAGCGAGCCCAGAACCAGGTCTCAGCTCTTCCTCCCCCGCCCGTGCGCGTCTGTGTGCGCGTGTGGTGTAAGTCCTTTCCCAGGTGAGGGCTTGCTAATGTTTTTCTCCACCTGTGACTTGCCTTTTCGCTTTCGTGTGGTGTCTCTGATAGGCACAAGCTATTCCTTCTGACAAAGTCTAAACGAGCACTTTCTTCTTTACGGTTAATGCTCCTTGTGTCCCCGCCTAGGGCAACTGTGCTTATTCTCAGGTTATGAAGATTTCCCCCCGTTTTTTTCCCAGCAAACTTTACACTCGAGCTTTAGCTTTTATGTCTAGTCTGTGACATGCTTCAAGTTAACTTCTGTGTGCGCGGCGTGAGGCAGGGCTCAGGCTCGCTTTTCTCCGCTGGGATGTCCAGCTCTCCTGGACCCTGGGTTGAACGTCTTTCCTTTGTCCGCTGAGCTGTTTCGGTGCCTTTGTCAAAAGTCCCCTTGCCTGGACTTTGTTTTGAGGAGGGCGTCCTGGAGCTGACCCTGGCTGCCCTGAGCTGCCCTCAGCACACTCACATTCTGCAGACGTGCTTTCCAGCCACAACACAGCATCAGAGCAAGCGAACGGCAGCTTGAAAGTGCTTTACACCCCGAGGCACGTCACACGGAGCGGGCACATGGCCACTGCGGCGGCTGAGTAGCCTCGCTCCTTCACCCTCCTCTCAGACCCCACCTCGTTCCTGCCCTGGGAGAGCTCACCCCGCTAGGGAGGGCTCCCCGAAACCTGCCCCGGTCATCCGCAGTCCAGGCATCACAGTTCTCCAACAACTTGGAAAAACGAGAGTGGGGCTTGGGAGGGAATTAAAGCTTCGGTCGGGGATGTGCTGGCTCCCGGGGAGGGGGGCAGGAGGCTCCTCTCCCAGTTCCTGGGGCGAGGTCTGAGGCCAGGCGGCTGGGGGTCCCTCAGACACCCAGGCAGTGTACCAAGGCACAGGCCAGGAGGCCCGGGCGTCACCTGGGCTAAATCCCCCAGGCCCACAGAAGAAACTGAGCCTAGAACCTGGTCCGGTGACCCAGAACCCCAGTCCACATGGAGTCCCCTTCCCAGCTGTGGCCTCCTGGAGAGCCCGGGTGGGTCCGGAAGGGACGTAGAAAGTGGCCGGGTTTTGCCTGGCTGTGCAGGCAGCTGCTGAGGGCTGAGCGGGGGCAGAAGGGTGGGAGGGAGAGCCAGGAGTGAAGGCCCCACGCAAGGTGCTGGGGCCTTCACTGCCCTGGCCTGCACGTTCCTAGTTTCTAAGAACATTCCTGAAGACATTCAAGAGCACACGCTGGAGCCTTGCCCAGGCCCAAGTGGGCCGGCAGCTTTGCCTTCCCCTGGCCTCCCTGACCGGGTGCCCACCCCCGGGTCCTGGCCTGGGGGATGGCGTGGCTCTGCGATATCCGCCCAGGTTCCCCCTCGTTCTAGAATCCAAGGACAGACACAGGTCGGCACGGCTCCAGGCCTTTTAGGGAATGTGCCCTAAATTGGCCCCTTTGAAGCTCTGCCCTCCGGCTCCGCTCTCTGGAGCTGGAAGCCCCTCCCAGGCAGAACAGGCAGCAAGTCTGTGACTCGTCTTCCCCACTGCGCCGCATCCCCACGCCCAGCATTCAGTGGTGCTCAGAAACTGCCAAACGCAGGGATACACGCCCGCGTCCCAAAGGGACCCGCCGCCTTCCCGCCCCACACTTGGCAGCTGCTGCCCCACCACTCTGTACGGGAAGCTTCAGGTTTGGGATCTTGGCACCAATGACACGGACGGTGTCACCCAGCCGCCCCTGAGAACCACGTTTCCTTTTGTTTTGCAGGAAGCACCTCGCGCCCCGCGCATCCTGTTGACTTCCCGCCTCACGCGCCCGTCCTCGAGGGAAGGGCTCTAGTGCGTGCGCACCGAGCACAGCCGCCCGTCCTGCCACGGGAATGAGCCGCCGCAGCCCCCGCCTCGGAGCGGCCTGAGCCTGGCATGACCGGGCCTGGCTGGGGGAGGATTCTGTCCCTTCCCCAGGGCTGCGGCACAGCCGAGTGCCACCGAGCATGGGCTCAGAGGTGGCACACCCCTTGCTCACTAGCTGTGTGGCCGTGGCCGGCTTTTGACTCTCAGGACCTCGGTTTCCTCATCCGTGGAAGGGGCGCGATGACAGCAGTGCCGTCCACGCGCTGGGGGCGTCAGTGAGGGAACGAGTCCCGTGAGCCCCGTGAGCCCCGTGCGTGTGGCACGCACTCAGCCCGAGGCAGCCCCGTCGCCATGGATATCACTTCCGCCTGCCGACGCCAGCCCTTTCCAGAGCGCCAATCCAGCTCCCCTGGTGGCCCACCAGAGCAGACACACACAACGCACCCCGGCCACACGCCCAGCTCTCGGCCACGCCTCTAGCCCCCCTTTTGCTCCCGAGTGGGTACCCGGCCTGCCCATCCCCCCAGCCGCGTGCCCCCACCTCCCGTAATCCAGGCTGTCGCGATTCCCGGCGCAGGCTCATCTCGGCCGTTCGGAGCTTGTGCCCCGGCCTCTGCAGGGCCTGCCCGGGAGGTGGGTTTCCCCTGGACTCCCTGGCCCCTTGGTCACCTGCCTCACCCAGGAAGGCCACCATCTGTGGCCCGCCTGTTCCCCCACCAGCCTGGGAGTCCCCGAGGACAGAGCCTGCGGGACAAACTGCTAACTTGAAATCCTGCAGCCGCGGCTCTGGCAGGCGACACTGCCGCCAGCAGCCCACTTCGCTGGGAACTGCCAAGCAAACTCTGCACGCTTTGTAGGAGGGGAAGGCACCAGGTGAGTGCCTGCCGTGTGCTTTGCAGGTATTACTTTATTCAATCTTCTCGATCCTCCCATATTCTGTGGGGCAGGTACTCCTGCCATTGAGCAGATGGGCAAACTGAGGCTCAGGGAGGTTAAGTCACTTGCCTAAGGCCACACAGCATGTAAATGAAGACACTGGGGTTTAAACCCAGGCTCCCAGGCCTCCAAAGCCAAACCTTTTCTCCTCTGTCACTGCCCAGATCCCAGGCAGAATCCCAAGCCCGGGGGGTGGGGAGGGATCCCCAGGAGACAGCGGCCCCAGCCAGGGCCAAAGTCTAGACCAGAAAGACCTGCCATCCTTGGCTCTGGGGAGATGGCCCGGAAGCCAGCAGTGGCGGGAGGGGCGACCACAGACACACCCACTGTGGCCCGGGGTGCGCTCAGGAGGACGGGCCAGCCAGCCCCTGCCCCGCCAGGACTTCTGCCCACAGCGGTGCTCCCGCCGCCTGCCCGTGGGGTCCCGGGAAGAGGCTAACAGGGCGAGCCCCAGCACCCGGGACGCTGCGCCCGCACGGGGCGCTGCTGACACGCCAGCAGATGCCTCGTGGGGCAGCGGGGGAGGAAGACACAGCCGTGGCCGAGTGCAGGTGTGAGCTCTGCGCAGCGGAGGGTGATGGAGGGTGACGCAAAGGCTGAAGGGAAGACGGAAAGGGGCGGAGAGAGACGGGGCAGAGCTGGAGCAGACAAGCTGCAGCCCCACCGACGCCCACGCGTGCCTCCCGGCTAGGGAGCCTCGTGGCAAGGACTTCCGCGCCAGGTGCCGCCATCTACCAGCAGGCGTGACGCGCGGCAAGGACACGTCTGTGGGCGGGACCCTGAGGCTGGGCAGGGCTGTGGGCAAGGGCTGCTCCTGCCGGGCCACACAGAAACCCAGGAGCCGCTGTGCCCAGCGGGGCTCCCAGGGCCACCCTGAGGAAGAGAGGCTCCCGCGCGGCCCAGGGCACTCACCTTCAGGAGGCCGATCTCCTTCACGCAGTCCTGCCTCGCCTTGGCGTCCATCATCTCGAAGATCTTGGGCGGGAGGGAGAGAGAAAGAGCGGTGAGCCCGACGCGCAGCGCACACACGGGCTGAGTTCCAGTCCTGCTCTTCCGCCCCTCGCAGAGCAACTCTCGACTCAGCAAGCAGGAACTGAGCTCCCACCCCGTAAATGCCCGCCGAGTGCCCTTTGGGACCCGGAGCCGTGTCACCTCCTCACTGACAGCACTCCACAAGGCAGGAGTTACGCACCCAACTCACAGAGGCGGCGGCTGAGGCCACACCCTGGGAAGCGGCAGGCCAGGACACACGCTGGCGCCCCAGGTCTCCCCTCGGTAAACGGGGCCACAGCCCGACCCCACGCGTCATCGGATGGACTGATTAGGACGATGTGGGTGCAGCACCCAGCACGGAGCCCCTCGCACCTGCAGCGCTCGCTCAGTGCGGGTCCCCGCACCCCCTGACTTACAGGCACAGACAAAAGGTCAGCATTCGGCAGCCCTACCCCAAACCCATCCTGGCACGAAAGGACCAGGACAGAGAGAGCCCAGGTGAGCCCTTCTCAGCAGCTCCAGAGCAGACATTGGGCCTTGTCTGGACAGGGGAGCCCACCCTCTGCCCCACCCTCACTCCCTCTCCTGGGCCCCACCGCCCACGCTGTCAACCTCGTTCTTCAAGGGCCAGCGAGCAAACCCAGGGGCCTGGGAAGCCTTGCTGGAGGACTGAGAGCCGTTTCCCCTGCAAAGCGGCATTCAGACGGGCCCGGTGGCGCTCGGGGACATGCTCCTGGCCTGACTTTACTGCTTGACCTCCTTCCTGCATTTAGGAAGGACAAAGAGGGCAGGAAGGACACATGGAGCCCAGAATTGTGGAGTGGGCACAGGTGTCAAGCGAGTGGACGTGGTCTGCGCCTCAGCTCCCCAACTCGCCCCGGGGCCCTGGAATAGTGAGGTCTCTGCACTGCTTCCTCATCTGAAAGACCGGAGGACAAGCCCACCCAGAGCGCTGTGGACGAGGTTCCATGTGCTCCTAGCACAGCCTAGCATACAGCAGGTGCTCAATGCATGCACACGTTTCTTTTCCTTTATGGTTCACAATGTCACACAAGTCCACCTGGTTCTCTCCATGAGTTGGGCACTCATTACCCTCATTTGGAGGCAGGGAGGGGAGGGGGAGGGACTGGCGCAGGGCCACCATGTCCAGACATAGAAGCTGGCACCCCGGATGCAGCTCTGACCCCAAGGGTCACTGGCTCACCTGCACCTTCTTCAGAGCCACCGTCTTCCTGTCCAGCAGGCAGGTGGCTTTGTACACCTCGCTGAACTGTCCTCGGCCTATCTTCTTCTCGATCTGGAAGTCCGCCAGCGAGCAGCGAAAAGACAGGGTGCTGGGGTGTCTCTGGAGAAGAGGGAGAGATGGCATCGGTCACCAGCCAGGATGGCATGGAGGGCCTGGACCTTGGCAGCTGGGGACCCCAGAACTGCAGCACCCCTCTAAGGGGAAAGAGGGACTCTGCTTGCCAGTCTACTGTCAGAGCCTCCCAGGGGCTCTCTGTACCAGGTCCCCTGTGCTCCCCACAGCGACCCCCAATGGGGAAACTGAGGCCGCTCATTTTCCCATGGCACCTGTTATCACCACCTTTGTTATCTGACTGCTGGTTTTTCTGCATCCCGTCGCAGGAGGCTGGCTTGCGGGGCCTGATCGCCCTGTACACACCTGAGTCCTCTGCCCAGGCCTGGCCAGCAGAGCATGTGCAAGGAACACCTGAACGAGACGTGAGCCACTTGCCAGGGTCACCTGGCTCAGCATCAAGGTTGCTGGGTTCAGGGGCCCCTGCTTGGACTGCAGGTCTCACCAGCCCAGGGCACTGGGCATATCGCCTCAACTCCTAACCCTGCAAGTCACCGTGAGAAATGGCAAGTGCCCCTCCTCGGGTGGCCATTCCCCACGCCACAGATGGGAAAACCGAGGTTAACAGGTGCAGCCCTACATTCTGCGATAATTCTTTGGATAAACTGCCCCCTTTATGGTGACACGAAGAAACCAGAGACTCAGTGACTGTGGAGGCCAGCGCTGAAACCTGATTAAGCTCTAGGAGCTGCCTGGGACGGAGCTGCCAGGTGAGGCAGCAGTGGCCAGGTGGGCAGTGACACATGTGCAAATGAGCTCTTTGGACGGGGGTGGGTGGGGGGGTGGCCATCAACACTGGGCCCCAGCAGGGGTAGAAGGAGAAGGGGAGACGGCAGCCTAGTGAGGTGGGCCCAGTTATGTCTCCATTTACTGAATGAGGAAACTGAGGCCCAGAGGGGCCAGCTCTGCCCAGGTCCCCGGCCCACGCAACCTTCCCTGAGGGCAGAGCTCCGGCCCCCTCCCGCTGCAGCTCCCACTACCCACTCTGGATGGGCGGTAGCCAGGGAAACCACTCTTCCCGCACAGTAGGTGCCCTGGCCGCTGTCACTGTCACTGACAGGCCGGGTGAGAGGAGCCCCAAGCCCCTCGTCCCAGCTGCCATGCTGTCTGTGCCTTGCCCGCCTTGCGCTAAGCTGCCGCCTCCCAGCTTCGTGCCAAGGAGACGCCACAGCCCTGCCGGAGCCAGGGATGGCAGTCCAGCCCCGCAGCCCTCAGCCGGGGCAGCAAGGGGCCAGCCTTGACCTTGACGTCTTGAGGCACAATGACCTTCCTGGTGGGTCCTGCCTGGGCACCCGACCGAGAGGGCTGGCGGGAGGAAGACGATGACTTTATCTACCACGTGCCCATGGCTGCCAGGCAATTCGCGAGTAGCAGCCGTCAACCCACCATCCACCGAGCACCTGCCCAGGCAGCGCGGGCTCAGCGCCCGCCGAGTGCCAGCCTCTCTGCAGACGCGTCCCACGGTCCCCTTGCTGGGCCCTCGGAGGGACCCTGTGGGTGGGCCTCGCTGCTGCCCATTTCAGGGGTCTGAGCCTGGAGGGGAAGCAGTGACTTCCCAGACCGCGCGGTGAGGAGCGGCAGAGCTGGGGTTTGCCCAGGCCTGGGGGCTACAGCGCAGAGCCCTTGCGGGGCCTCCCGGCTCGGGTTCCCCCTCTGCTCTTCCCTCGAGACCCCTGAGCGGCCAGGCCTCTCCAGAAGGGGCCCCTGACTCGGTCCCCCACGGCCCCCGCGCTGAGGCTCTACCTGCCCAGAGCAAGTGCTCAGAGCGAGTCTGTGGAACGACACCGTGGACCCTGCTCCACACCCCCAGCGCGCAGGGGACCCTGTGACCCAGCCGCTGCCACCGCAGAATGCAGCCAATGCCACACAGCCCTAGAAACACCAAGTGGCTTTCTCAGCACTCGGAAGAATCACACACACTCATAAAAATAATGCCAAGCTGTAACGTATTAGCCACCTACTACGTCTCAGTTACCGTGCTAGCTTAGGTTTTGTGACTTAAGCCTCCCAACAGCCTTGCAAAGCTAGGGTTATTAATCCCACCTTACAAACCAGGAAACTGAGGCTTGAGCTCCCTGTTGGATCTAGGCCCAGTTACGCTGCCAGGTGACATGGAGTGGGGTCCACCCCCCTTAGGCCTTAGTTTCCCCCAGGTACAGTACAGGGTTTGGAGGATGTGACCCCTGAGGCCCCTGCTCTGGTGACACTGGCTGCTCCTCGTGGTGACATGTGAGGGTGGCCAGAGGCCCTGACACTCTGCCTGGGGGCCGCACCGCCTGGCTCCATGGGATCCTAAGCTCCCTGGATATGGGTGCCATCCTGGCCATGTTGCAGACTCCAGATGCTCATCTGCATATAAATGACCCAGATTTGCATTTCCTGTCACAACCCATTGGACCTAATTAGAGGAATGTGCTCCCCTGGCAGGGCAGCTCAGTGGGCAGCGCAGGGTACAGTCCAGCAGGCTCTGGGGCCTCCACTGCCCTCAAAGGGTTGGTGTGGGGCCCTGTCCCCGGGTGGCCTCTGCTCAGATGTGGGCACCTCAGGACACAGGCCTCCTGGGGTAGGGTCCTGGCCCTGATGCCCCAGGGGCTCTGAGCAGAAAGGAAAGGGTCAACTGCGCTCCTGCCCTCAAGGCCACACCTGCCACCATCTCCGAGGCCTTCCTCCTCCCCCCCCCCCAGTCAGTCCCGGCAAGTTCCACTCTTGCCCCTATAGCCAAGTGACCCTGAGCTGGCTGTCCACACACAGGGCTGGTGACACTGGCCCCAGGGGTTCTGAGGATTCCAGAGATGATGCTGGTGGTGAGGGTCTGTGGGCCTCCCCAGAGCAGTGTGCACAGTGGTGGCGCCAACAGTGATAACCATTGACTAGTGACCTATCACCCTGGTGGCCTTTCAGAAAACTGGTCATCTACTGCTTACTGCTGTCTGGGACCCCGTGCTGGCTACTGGGGAACATAAACACCCTCTGCCAGGGCACAGGTTGGCAGGGGGTAACTGCTGCTCCAACTCTGTCCATTGAGACTCCAACACTAGGGTCTGCTGGCTTGGGTTCAAATCCCGATTCCACCAATTATTGGCTTGGGCAAGCCCTTCTGGGTGATGAAAGAAAGCCCTTAGAAGAGGGACTGGCACACTGGCAACGTGACACGTTAATTGTCATTACTGCTGTTGTTGCCAACTGGTACTGTTGGGTCTATCAAATGGGCTAATGACAGCGCCTGCCTCCCAGGGGCTGGGGAAGAACCGAGCTGTGTCTGGTTGGGCGAATGGACTTAGGGCGTTCTCGGGTGCTGTTACAATCACCGTGACCACCGTCTCTACCCACAAAGGGTCCGCTGATCAGAGGCTGGCGGTGACCCCGGGGGCTGCAGTAAGGTGGGGGCTGGCGTGCACCTGCTGGTGGGTCAGGGATGCAGCCTTGTGACTTTGCTGCACCCTGCATGGGCCGCCCAGGACTCCGTGCCAAGGAACCACGCCCTCGGCCTCCCTCCTAGGGCTGCGCTGTGGGGCAATGGAGCACAGTAGGCCACGGCTGCCTCCTCTTCCCCAGGGCATGGAGTCCCTCAGCTCTGCCCCAAAGGCAGAGGAGACAGGTGGAGGGCTGGGAGGAGGAAACAGGGACGACGCCCCTGCCGTATCCGCCCCGTGCTCTGCTGCCAGGTGCAGTGGGCCGAGGGCGAAGGCCTGAGCTGCCTGCAGACAGGCGGGGCATGAGAGAGGCGGCAGATGGAGGGCCTCTGGGCACAAGGACCCTGGACAGCAGAGGAGCCTGGTGGGCGGGAGCCAAGTTATGGCCAAGGGCCCTGAGTCACCTCCGTCCCCAGTCCCACTGTCCCAAGAAATGCTGCTGGCTTCTCAGGAAAAGGTGGGGATAACTGGGAGCCCGGGGGACGGGTCCAGTCTAGACCACCGTAGGACACCCCCACGCGGCGCCAGGCTCTCTTCTCCAAGTCAGATCAAATTAGGCCACAAACACCCCCAACCTGCGCTAATTTGAGTTTAAAATGTTTGAACCACAATAAGCCTCAGCCATCTACAAATCCTTTAAAAAAAAAAAAAAACAGGAGCATAAAATTACATGTTAAAAGAATAAAAATGCATTCGCCCAATTAATTTTCTGAAATCTCATTAAAAAATTTAGCCTGACTAAGTCAGACTTCTGACCTGAATTTTAATCATCTTTATACTGGATGGGTCTTTTTTCCCTGATATTTGCAATGCATCATTAATTTTAAGGCAACCGTTTCTATGATTTTAAAAAGCACACTTCATCAGGATGACATTTCTTATAAACGAATTTCACCTTTAAAGACATCTGACACCGTGCGTAGGGACCTTCTAACGGATTCAGTGTCTGTGTACACAGCGCTGTGTTTTAAATCTGTGTTGCACAAAAGGGCACGATTTACAAAGAGTCCACATTGTTAGGCTCCCTCCGAGGCCAGCCCTGCTCAGCTCTGCACGATCGAGCCAACTTCAAACCAAAAGCCCATCTTCCCTCCCAGTGAGCTCACTGCAGGAAGAGGCACCGCAGGGCCCCAAGGGCCTGGACTGAGTTTCAACTCTGTCCCTGAGAGCAAAAGGGACCTATCTCAGTTTCCTTCCCTGCAATACGGAGTAATGACTAACACCTACTTCTCGGAGTCGGCAGGACGACCAAACGAGAGAAGTGTCAGGCACCACACTGTCAGCACAACCTCCACCGTCACCGTCTCAGCTTGGAAGTCCACACCGGGCTCTGCGGGCCATCAGCTCATGGGAGAGTGAGCAAACGTCCACCCAGTGGAAGACACCTAACAACAAAACCGAAAATCATCTAAGTCATAGTGGCTCCTCCAGGACAACCCTCATTAGCCGCACTGAGCTTAAGCACATGGATGAGAGAATCTGGAACCAGCTCCAACGACTAACAAGCGAAGACTTGCAGGGCAAAACTATAAAGAGATCCAGCCACCAAGCCAGAAGTCTGGATGCATCCCTGACAGCCCCTCTCCTTCAGCCCTTCATGTTTGTGTGATTGGTTCCCCCTTCCTGGAAATTTCTGGACCTTCCCTCCCCAGGTCCAGCTGTGGCCTATATAAGGCCAAGGCAGCATCTCACCTGGTGGGCAGGGGCCTCCTCACCTCCCTGTTTGCACCTTACCTGAGCCTTGAGCTCAAAACACCACTGATCTATCTGGAACCCAAACCCAAGGACTCCCTCGCCGACTTAAAACCCACAATGGGTTCCCCATTCGCTCCAGATTCAATTCCCAATGACAGAGCAGACTTGAGACCTTTCGCAAACACCATCCATTCTCCTATCTAAGCACAGCTATCCAAACACCTTCTCCAAGACTGGCTGTGTGCCTTCGGGTCCCAGTTCCTGCTCTTTCCTGTCCTTGGAACACCTCCTCTTCCTGTCCTGCCCCAAACTCCTCATCACCCATCCAGCAGAACTAGCCACACTCTGTGGGCTCCCTCAGCACCCACCCATCCCTCTGGGGGGCTCCCAGCTCCCTGCGCCATTCTCATCTATTTACACACAGGGCCCCCAGCAGACTGTGAGCACCCCTTTCCCAAGCAGCAGGCAGAAAGGAAACGAACTCTTGCTAAATTAATAGCAGTTAGCAGACACTTCCTGAATTTGCACGGCTGTTAATATTTAGTCATGAAACGTTACCCAACTAGCATCATTTCTTTGGGAAGATTTTCACAGAGACTTCGGCCTCCTGTGCAGTGCACACCCAGAGACGGCCGCCCCCCGACCCTGCAAAGCTGTGCACGCTCTCCTCTCGGAACAGCGCCCAATCCAGCTGAACTGGGCCATCCCGGGCAGGTTTGCAAAGACTTTCCACATGGAAGACACATTAGCTGGGACTTTCTCAGCAAGAACACCTTTCCCCTTCTTGGAGAGGCATGTGGCCCTCGGTGTGCCAGCGGAGCCTTGTGTTTCGTTCCGATGAAAATGCTCCGTGCAAACTGGTCCAAGCAAAGAGCATGGGGCGTTTTAAGCTCCTTTCCTCAACTCCATTCATTCACCCATTAGAAACCTCAAGAAAAACAAGGATGTTCAGTTTTCCTAAGTATGTATGAATTTCATATATGATTCTGCTGGGTTCAGCAAACACATTTTCTGGTGCTGAGGGCTCCCAGAGCTGGACAGCTTCCCGAAATGAACAAACCAAGAGCCTTGGGAGAAGGTTAACAAAAACCACATTCGAGCGTTCGTAGTTTCTTTCTTTCTACACTGCAGGTATTATCTAGCTCCGAGGCCTTTAGCCAGGTGTCCTCAAACTACTGCCCGTGGGCCAAATGCGGCCCGCCGAGGACATTTATCCGGCCCGCCGGGTGTTTATGCCGCTGCTGCCTGTCCTGCTGAGCAGCCCACTGGCCCCGGGCTGCAGTGCGCATGTGTGGAATGTGCGCATGTGTGGAATGTGCGCCGCGCTCTCCAACGGCCCTCCAACGGTCTGAGGGACAGCGAACTGGCCCCCTGTTTAAAAAGTTTGAGGACCCCTGCCTTTAGCGGTAAAAACTAAAATGATTTTTAAAATACAAGGTCCACAGCAGACAGTTTCTCGACACTGCAATGTCAGGCGCCACGATGGGGGTTCAAAGTGTGTCATCTCAGTCTTCAGGGCCGCCTCGGGAAGCGGGTACCACGTTTAGCTCACTTTGCGGATGAGGAGACTGCGGCCCAGAGAGGTCGTTTACCCCTGTCACCTGGCCAGGGAGCGGTGGGGCGGGGAGGGAACCCGGCCCAGCCCACACGGAAGCTTTCTCACTGGCCGTGAGGGTGGCGCCAGGGAAGCAGCGGTGCCTCCTGCCATCGAGGAAGACGCCTCCACCGCGTTTCCGTGGGCGGCCGGATCGTCCCCCCAGACGGCGTGGAAATCCCAGGGCTTCCCGAGACGAGAGAGCACACACACGGCTGCGCACACGGATTCTGCGAACCTGGCCAGATGCCCACGGGACAGGGGCACCTTTGCCCGACAGCCACCCGGCGCGGCCCCACATCGGGAAATCGTATCTGATTACACCGGGCTGTGTCATTACGCCCCCAACACGTGCCACGAGGCACTGCGAGCGCCACTGCCGCAGCCCACTGCCTCCTCGCCTTGTTCGTGAAATAATTACGGGCCCTCTCCTCTGCCAAATGAGGCTGTAATTAACCCTAATTGCTCAAAATGCAACCGGCTAATTCCGGGAGATTAATCAAGGGGGATTCAGTTGCTAGTGAATGACTTAATATGACAAATTGCTACATTACCCGAGGAGGCCCCGCTGCCCCAGCCATCAGCACCATGTCCTGGTGGACTCTGGACACGTCTGGTGTCCTGGGACCTCCCCCCTTCCCAGTTTCTGGGATCTACCTCCCCAAATTCTACCTAGGAAATGGGCCCCCGCATGAGTACAAATAGCACAGACAAGCCCACAGACCCTCTGCAGGCTTATGTGTGCATACACACACACACACACACAAAATGTCCTCTACTAGCTCACATGTCACCTCTGTGTGCATCTGTAGCCGTGCCTGTCCCTTGGGCTGATGCAGCCCTGCGTGGCTTGGTGAGACTGCAAACACAGGGAGGATTTCAGATCCTCCCGCCTCCTTGGCCAGGCACCTTCGTGCAGCACTTCACCCTGGCACAACTGTACATGGTGACCCTGCCCGTAAGGTCAAACATCAGCCAACCTGAAGTCCTCCAACAGAAACTAGGCAGTAGAGGCCATGACAAGCCTTCCGAGGCTCAGGAAAGTGGCTGTCTCTGAGTCTCCCCAGTCTGGGTCTCACAGCCCTGGGACAAAAAGCCAACCCCAGACAAGAACTTTTCATCACTCCAGGCTGTCCACAGGACCCTAAGGATCTGGCCCCAGACAAGCTCTCTGCCCCTCCGGCCCTTGCATGCCACTTTCTTGGGGAAGCCTCTCTGGCCCCTCGTTGGGATGAGGCGCCTTGCTGGGGCTCCACAGGCCCCCAGTTTCTTCTGCTCAGTTTCTTTTCTTTTTTTTTTGAGACAGAGTCTTGCTTTGTTGCCCAGGTTAGAGTGAGTGCCGTGGCGTCAGCCTAGCTCACAGCAACCTCAATCTCCTGGGCTCAAGCAATCCTCCTGCCTCAGCCTCCCGTGTGGCTGGGACTACAGGCATGCGCCACCATGCCCGGCTAATTTTTTCTATATATATTAGTTGGCCAATTAATTTCTATTTATAGTAGAGACGGGGTCTCACTCTTGCTCAGGATGGTTTCAAACTCCTGACCTCGAGCAATCCGCCCACCTCAGCCTCCCAGAGTGCTAGGATTACAGGCGTGAGCCACCGCGCCCGGCCTTTTGCTCAGTTTCTGGTCTCTCTGCCACGGGTCCGTCTCCCACGCAGCCATGTCCCGGGCGGGTGCGCTACACACGTAGGTGAGTTCGTTAACTCAGCAGGCGTTGAGGGCTCTGCTCCACCCTGTCAGTGGAGGCGGCCCAGGGGCAGGTGTCGGGGGGTAGGGGTGGAAGGGAGGTCGCCCCCAGAAGCGGCAGTGTCTGGACTGAGATTGGGAGTAGGGTGGGGGCATCCCAGGCCTGGGGACAGTGTGTGCACAGGCACAGGGCAGACAAACCGGCTCAGAAACCCCCAGGCCACCTGCTGAAAAGCTCCAGGAGGCTGCCTGGCTCTCCAAGGTGTCTACAGACAGCATGGAAGACACTGTCATTCTCGGAAGCTCTGCTGGTTCTAGATCAAGATGCAGAAGGGGCCAGGAGACAGACGAGCCCAGAAAAGGAGGCAGATGTTGGCTCAGTGTAAGGAGGAACTTTCTGACCCCCAGTGTACCCTGCCCATTACCTCCGACTTCCTCACACTCCTCAGGGCCTCCCACAGCCCCCTCAGTCCCCTTCTAACTGCACTGAACCCTTTGTGACAAAGCTGTCCCATTCACATCAACCCCCAGGGGCAGGCCCAGAGTCTGGCACAAAGGAGGCTTCTCTGAGTGCTGCTGAATTAAATGAAGAGCTCACTGGATCAGGTAGTGAGCTCCCCATCACTGCAAGCATTCAAGGTAGGGTTCTGTTTGGTGGTGCTGAGGGGCTTTCGCCAGTGGATGGGAGCTCAGACGAATGAGCCTCAGGGATCTGTGTTCTTTGGAGACTCTTCAACATGCTGCAGACAAAGGAAATGGCTTACCTGTGGGTCAGGAGGGTGCGCGGGTCCCAGGGTGTGGCAGAGGTTGTTCGGGCTCCCTCCATGGGGCATGTGGCTGGGCTGTCCTGCCATCCTGCATGCCAGCCTCAGCAGGGCACGGGCTGCAACAGAAAATGGGACCTGTTCACCTTCTCCTCGAGAGGGCCCTCCGAGGGGGTGTGAGCTGCAGTGCAGAGCAGTTCAGTGACCTGCACACGGCCACGCAGCTCCGAAGCGGCAGGGCTAGGACCCAACACCCCACGTGACACACTATCCCTCCACTGCAGCGGCCTGACTGGTTACCAGGATCTTCCCCCCTGCAAAGAGGGAGAAACCGAGGCTCCCAGCAGGGAAACATCTATCAGTGGGCCCCAGGGCAGCAAGGAAGGCGCCAGATTCGACCCCACATCTGCCGGAGTTCAAGGCCTTGCTTTTCTCATAGCACTTTCCACACAGAGCTGCCTCCTGGGGAGCAGTTCTGTATCCCCATCCCCACATACAGCGAGGTCAGCAGCCTGGGTGGTCAGGAGACAGAGGCCTGGGTCAGACTGTACGCGGCAGCTGCAGGAAGGACCCCACAGCCCGGCCCTGGCTGGGCCCTGGGGCACCGGCACACGGCGCTGGGAGGGCCGGGGCCCGCAGGTCCTGCTCACCGCCCCGCACACACCGAGCAAGGGCAGAGCCCTGTGCACGAAGGAGCAGCCCCCTCGACCTCCCGGGGCTCGGGCTGCCTGGGAGTCAAGGATGTAGGTCACAGGTAGCCATGGTAACTGATCAACGCCCACTACTCTGCGGCTCTGAACCGAAGGCCATCTGAGTATCTCCCTCTTCTACTCCTGGTGCCAGAGGCAGACTGTGGCCTCCCCCATCAGATAAGCAGCGCCTCTGGGGCGGGCTCGGAGGCTCACATGCACAGAGGAAGGTGTGTGGCCCAGGGGGGGCGCCGGCACCCGCCACCGCAATCCCTCGATGAGAGGGAGGGGCCCTCTTCGTTGGCAAAGACCCCAAGCAACCCGTGCACCTTCTGGGGCCAGGGCCAGGCCAGGCCTGGGCTCCCAGGGCGCCATTCAAGCACGTGGCGAGGCCCCCCGCTGCTTCTGCCGGACCCAGGCCAATGTCCCGAGGGCCCCTCCTGCCCGACCACTCCCCAGACAGAACCCCCACGAGCATGACCTGGGCTAGCGGAGCAGCTGCGAGGTACCCCTGGACAGCCACGAGTCCCTGGATGGGAGGCCCCCGGGCGGCCCTTACTCAACATCGGAGGGGGTGAGCAAAGTGCAGGGTCCCCGGCCTCGGGGCAGAACACTCTGAGGTCTGACTCACGCGGGACCCTGGCGTGGTCAGCGGGTTTGGTCTGAGATGGCAGCTTGGCCCGTCTTCCTCCCATTCCCAGTCCCGCCTCCCCACTCCCTTGGAGGGTCCCCCGGGCCACTGCCTTAATCAATCTCTTGCCCCTCGCCCTAGTCTCAGGGTCAGCTTCTGGAGGACCCAACCTAAGATCACCTCTCCCTAGACGGACCAGCCTCTTGCTGTAGTTCACCTGGCCACCTGCGCCCAGGCACCCCACCAGCCAAGTCCCAAACTGAGAGTCTCCCCAGGTCTTCTGGGTCAGCAAGCCCCACTGTGGGCCCCACCTGGGTAGACCCATGCCCCCAGGAACACGGGGGGTCTGGGCAGTGAGAAGGGAATCAACTCCCTGCTCAGTGTGTCCTGGGCTGCAGTCGCCTTCCTTCCTCCCCACCGTGGTCTGTTACAGTGCTGGGCAGCCCGGACCTCCCAGGCTCCGGGGATGTCTATGACACCCTTTGACACGTGCCTTCGGGGGCACCCTGAGCCTCCCAGAACCCGAGTGCTGGCTCCCAGCACCGTTCCTCCTCTGCGTCCTCAGGCAGCCCCAGCTCCCCACACGCCTCTCACGGCTGCTCTGGGCCGAACGTGCTCCTTCAGCGCACAGGGTAGACCGTGGAAAGTGAGGCCACAGGAGAGCAGATGGTGCGGACTGCGGAACGCATCCAACGCAGGGTAGCAGGGGTCCTCAGTGCTGAGAGCTCTGCCAGCCACGGCCCGTGCAGTCTCCTGCCTGCCAAGCTGCTGACACGCAACCAACTTCGGCCCACAGGTATGGCATTTGCTGCAGCGCGTCCCCGTGTGTACAGATGAACAGGCGGACCTCACTCTCCTCTCTCTGTGCACACCCAGCGCTGCCTCGGATCAGCGTCGCCTGGAGGGCATTATGGGGTGTGCCTGCCCCTCTCCCTCCCCACACCCCTGCCCCTGCCTCCTGCAAGCCTCGGCCCCCACCTGCATGGCTGGGCCTCCCAGCACCTGGCGCTCTCCCGCCAAGCCCTGGAATGCAGGTGGGACCGAGGTACCCTCAGCTCTCGCCATCTGGGCTGAGTGACACAGTGGAGGACCTGGGGTGCAGAAAGCCCCAGGATAAACAGATAAACACAAGCACCTTCCGCAGGCATCTCTGTTACTCAGGGGGGAATATGAGAGGGAGCAGAATGTAAAATGCGCATGCATTTGAAGATAAAACCGGAGACTCCTGCAGACTCTGCAGCTGCTTCGGGCTGCACCCCCACACCCCTCAGGGTGACATGCTCACCGGCCTCTGCCCTTAGGGAGACCTCCAGGGAAAGGTTGGAGGAGAACCATCTTCGGCAAGAAGGTACTGTCTTTATCTCAGAATGCAGCAGTCCCCGCCTGCAGGCCACCCCGCCAAGGCCCACACAGGCATGCCTCACCTGCCCACCTGCCTGTTTCCCACGGGTGGGAGACCACGGCAGCGTCCGTCTCTGGTGTCCCTTCCTGTGTCCCGCCTCACCTAGTTCCGGCCTCAGTGTGAATCTTGACCCTGTTACCGGGCAGGAGCCCAGCAGGTATTTGCGAATGTCACTCCAGCCTTCCCCGAGCGGCACCGACAGCACCTTTTAACAGCAGTGGCCAGAGGCAGCAGCCTGCATGTCTCTCAGTAGCTCATCCTGTGGCCTCACACGTGCTCCAGGAGCATGGCAAGGGGGGCCCGGGCCACAGCAGAAACAACGGGAGTGAAACTGACAGTGATAGCTAACAACGGCTGGGGCCTGACGGTGCCGGGCCCTCCCTATACGCTTCACCTCTGAGTCCATCTCTTTTCAACAACCACCCATGAGATAAGGTCTATTATGGTCCCACTTTACAGACGAGAAAACTGAGGAGCAAGGAGGTTAAGAGATTTGCCCAAGTCCCATGGACCACAGGGAGTAAAACCAGGACTCAAACCTATAATGGCATCTTTGTCCAAACCACTGTGCTGTGCCACTCACAGACGCTTACAAGGCAACACGCCACCTTCCTTTCCAGTTGGCTCCATGCAGAACAGCCCTCTCTCGCTCGAGAATCGGGCCTATGCTGAGGTGCAGGGGTGACCCCAGGGACCTCCAGGCAGGAGCCCCTAGGACTTTGGCCTCTGGACCACACCAAGCTGACACAACACCACTGTCTCTACCACCTTCTCTGCCGACCCTGTGGGGCTTTGGTGAATTACTGCTCCTAAGAGCTGTTTTGTCCAGAACCTGATGGAACCTGCTATGCCACGTCCCCCAGAGAGGAGGAGGGGACCTGGTTCCAGGAAAGCAGCAGCCAAAGAGACTCTACAAGTCCCTGCACACCAAGTGCCAGAGAGGGCCACTACAAAGGGGAGGGGGGAGGGAGAGCAGGAGGTAGGGAAGGAGGAAGGAAATGAAGGCTCTCTGAGCACTTTCAGTGGGCCAGGTCTTTCTCTTCATCCTTGGGGCTGTTGGTAGACCCATTTTACAGATGGGGAAACTGAGTCTCAGAGAGGGGAGGCTCAACACCATTCGGCTGACGAGCTGCAGAGTGAGGATTCAACCTTAGACCTGTGACTCAAAAACCCCTCTTCGTTCCAAGGAATCCACTGCCTCCTGGGGCTCTCCAGGGGTATCAGATTTTAAGGAATTTGCATTCTGTTTTGTCTACACCCCCAAAGAAACCCAAGCACCTAACTCTAGAATTTGCTGCCAGAAACTGCTTCTTAGGGGGTTCAGGTGCAGAAAGACCAAGGCAAAGGGGGCATTGGAGGGACGAGGCGTGGGGAGCAAGGAGAAGACCCTCAGCATGTGCACACGGGCACCTTCGGGTAACACAGGGAGCTGCTTGTCCCCAGGATCCTGAGGCTCCCGCCAAGCTGCAGAACAATGAGGCAGTGGCTGCCAAGACCAAGTCAGGGGCCAAAAATCTGTGGAATGCAAGACCCGGAGCCGCAGGCCACACTGAACACCACCTCAAAGAGGGCCTTTCTTGCGCATGGAGCAGGGGCTCTGTGTCCCCAAGGCACCGAGGACGCGCGCTGCGGCTTCCCAGCCTGGGTTCCCAACTCTTGTGTGAACAGCAAGGATAAGCTGCCCCACGCTGTGTGCCCACCAGGCACCTAGGGTGAAGTGAGGCTGGCCAGGGGGCTGGGCCGCCTGGGGCCAGATCCTGGCCCCATCTCATCTGACCACACAGCGTCTCAGTTTCTTCATCTGGAAACGGAGCTATTAGTAAGATCTTCCTCTCAGGGTCAACGAGGGGATGAAATGCGTTAGTAGACGTGAACTCTTAGAACAGAGCGGGCAGGTGGGAAGGGCTGAGGCTTTAGCCGCCATGAGCACGTCTGCGCTAACCCTCACTGTGCCGCGGAGGAGTGACCGTCTCCATGCGACAGACACTGGAACTGAGCTCAGAGGGCCAGGGCCTCGCGCAGGGCCACACAGCTGGCAAGCCACGGAGCTGGGGCTGCCGGCCCCCCGGTCTCTGCTCTGGGGGCCGCACTGCATGGCCTCTTTGGGAACGCTCTGGAGCAAACATCATCGTCTACGTGAACCGTGGCTACCTTTGCAAACCCTCTGACGTGCCCCTCCCCGCCCCGACCCTGGACAGAGGTCTCACTAACGTGGGCGTGACCCTCGGGAGACACGGGCTTGGTCTCATCCAGGCACTCTGTGGAAGGGACTGGATGCTGCCCTGGGCTGGGCTCTGAGGTTCCCAGTGGGCTTCCTGACCAAGACTGTCACCCGGCCACGGCCTCCCAATTTCTAGAAACTTCATCTAGGGGGATGTCCCTCCTTTGCCTCTTGCC